TGACGTGACGTCTCTGAGATGCTCAGGTGCGATGGACAGCACGTGAGGCAGACACGGACTTGCAGAGACCGGTAGGTGCAGACATCGAGGCAGGCAGCACTTGATTGAGACTGAGGCCGTGTCCGTCAGAGCCTGGATGTGTCATTCACCGAGAGTGGCATACATCTCTTGAGCAGACCTTTGAAAAAAACTGAAAATTTTGAAAATTTTCGAATAATCAAAAAATGCAGGAAATTGTCTGAAAAGCGCACAAAACCAAAATTTCTTGAAAATTTTGAAAAAAATTTGAAAGTGGAATTCTTCAAATTTTTTTGGTTTTGTGCGCGTTTTGGACAAATTCCAGCATTTTTCGATTTCTTTGAAATTTTTCATAATTCCACCACTTGATGCCTTGCAAAACCGACCTGTCTCGAAATGTTTCTGATTTACAGTGTCTGTGTCGAATGCGGTCTGTGCCTGACTCGGGCACTACACGGACCGGTCTCTGTATAACACGGCACTGACGTGACGTCTCTGAGATGCTCTGGAGCGCCAGACCACGTGAGGCAGACACGGACTTGCAGAGACCGGTAGGTGCAGACACCGAGGCAGGCAGCACTTGGTTGAGACTGAGGCCGAGTCCGTCAGAGACTGGATGTGGCATTCACCGAGAGTGGCATGCATCTCTTGAGCAGACCTTTGAAAAAAATTGAAATTTTTCAAAATTTCCGAAAAATCAAAAAATGCGGGAAATTGTCTGAAAAGCGCACAAAACCAATTTTTTTTGAAAATTTTGAATGAAATTTGAAAGTAGAAGTCTTCAAATTTTTTTGGTTTTGTGCGCGTTTTGGACAATTTCCAGCATTTTTCGATTTTTTGAAAATTTTGAAAATATTTCAAAATTCCACCACCTGATCCCTTGCAGGACCGGTATGTCTCGGACTGTTTCTTTTGTACAGTGTCTCTGACGAATGCGGTCTGCCTGACTCAGGCACTGCACGGTCCGGTCTCTGTACAACAGGGCACTGACGTGACGTCTCTGAGATGCCCAGGTGCGGCAGACAGCTCGTGAGGTAGACACGGACTTGCAGAGACCGGTAGGTGCAGACACCGAGGCAGGCAGCACTTGGTTGAGACTGAGGCCGAGTCCATCAGAGACTGGATGTGGCATTCACCGAGAGTGGCATACATCTGCTCAGGAGACCTTTGAAAAAAAATTCCAGCATTATTTGATTTTTCGAAAATTTTGACACTGTACATCAGAAACAGTCTGAGACAGACCGGTTCCACAAGGCATCAGGTGGTGTAATTTTGAAGAATTTCAAAATTTTCAAAAGATCGGAAAACGCTTGAAATTGTCCAGAAAGCGCACAAAACCAAAAAAATTTGATAAATTTCACTTTCAAATTTTTTTCAAAATTTCCAAAACTTTTTTCTTTTGTGCGCTTTTCAGACAATTTCCAACATTTTTTGATATTTCGAAAATTTTGAATATCTTTTCTTAACCCTCCCCAAGAGATGCCTGCCAAACTCAGTGAAAGACTCACCCAGTCTTTGCCGGACTCGGCCTCTATCTCACTAGGTTGCTGTCTGCCTCGGTGTCAGCACTAACTGGACTCTGCAGTACACCGGTCACTATGGGTCAGTGTCTGCCTAACGTGCTGTCTGATGCACCTGGCCTTCTCAGAGACGGCACGATAGATCCGTGTCATACAGAGAGTGGTCCGTGCAGAGACAAGCCTTCTGTAACAGTGAGATACTTGTTAAACCACGTCAGACCCAAGGATGGTACATGCAACATTACGTTTTATGTTGATGGTGACTACCAGAAAGGAATGATGCAAGATTCTTATGAAATTTGAACCAAAACTTGATAACATGGATTTGAGTTCCCATACAGAAAAGGGTCCTCAAAAGGAGATATAATTTTTTGAAAAAAATTCCCAACAATCAGTAAATATTAGTTTTCTCAATGATGCACTGCTGATGTTGGAAGGTAGAAGTCTCTTATTTGCCTTGCAAACACCAATATAAATTTTCCAATTTCACTGTATCTCAACACGTGTAGATTATAACATAACGTTTACATACACTTTTCAAAATCTTATGTTTTTTGTTTTGATATAAATATTCAAGAATATAATTATACTGCAGAAGATGTTACTACCATTCTTTTGTAGGATCACTAAAGGAGACTTCACCAAATTAGAAACATCCTAGCATAAAATGGAACTATATACCACAAAACACAAGCTTACTTTCATGAAGATGAATATTCATCATGACAAAGAATTATTTCTTCTGGCCTGTACAACACTTAATGCTTCCACAGTACTGCTGTTACACATCACAGGTAACAAGCTAAATGCAAAACCTAACCATAAAGCATTTTATACTCTTTTGTATCACCTGTCCACCAACATCATCTCCCAAACTCTGTGCCTTTTAATTTCTAAGCTGACCACATGAATAATGAGTGTCAGTTACCAGAATTTTTAACATTCTTTAAATATAAATGGAGATGGTTACACCCAGCTAAATATTCCCTATCAGAAGACGGACCTGCTTGAACAGTAGTCACTGTACCAGGCAGAGTAACGGAACAATGAACAAAACAGTCTGATCCCTGCCAGCAGACAATAAGTGCGGAAGGGAGTGTACTTTTTACATATAATTATTCTTAACATAAAAACCAAATTCATAAACAAAACAAAACTAGAAATATAATATTCACTTTCCTTCAGTACAGACGATCCTATGCCATTTTTACAAAAGTATTCTCAGGCTTGACAGTAGTCAGTAGAGCAAGGGAAGATACCACAAGACACATTTTTAGGAACACAGCTGGCAAAGATTAGTGCATGGGGTGAATATGTTCTTCAGAAAAAGGGCCACATAGTACAGACAGATGATGCGAGGATTAAAATGGATCCTCAATAAGGTGTGAAAATGGGGACTGGATAGAATGGCTTCACAGAAGTTCCAATATAACATTTTGGCTACTGTCTCAGCTTCCATCATGGGTGATGTGATGGGTGGAACAACTGCCAATTTTATTTGTACTCACTCTTGTAGCCATATTCCCCAGTGATCCAATTGGCTTTCTCCTTAACAATATATCAGGGAATGGTGGTTATTGTCGCTCCAAACAATTCACAACCACTTCCTTTGAAAGTTGTAGTTTCTCGTCATCTTATCTGATGCCACGTTACTTCTGGGGTTGAAAATACGTAATATAACCTAAGAAATAATCATCCTACCAGCTCCTATCTGAAATTTGCTCTTCTTCTCCCCCTTCAAGTGTTGATGTCATCTGTTGCAGCAACTGGAGTTGATGTATTAAACCTGGAAAATGTTTGATATCCTGATTGTTATATGTTTATTATTTGATGATGCTGTATGGATTATGAGGGCTGTTTAGTGTCAGATGAGACACAAGTCACAACATTCATGACATAGGATAATAATTGTAATGATGAACTGGGGAGGATATTCATGGAAACAACCTCTGTCCTGTCTAGAGAATAAGAGATTAAAAACCCACAAGTCTGTAACATTACCTGTTGTTTTGTACAGGTGTGAAACATTATTTCTTACCTCAAGGGATGAACACAGAAAGCGGGTATCAAAAATCGAAGTGCTGAGGGGAATGTTCAGTAGCAAGAAAGGGGAAATAACCAAAGACTGAAGAAAATTACATAATGATAAGCTTCGTAATTTGTATGTTTCACATAGTGTTATTGTATCAAGTAGAATGTAACATGCAGTACACAAGGGGAGGATGGGAAATACACACAAAATTTTAGTCAGTAAAATTCAAGGGATGGCAGCACTTGGGATACCTGGGTATAGACAGAAGGATAATCAAAAGCTATCTTAGAGAGATACATGATTTCGAGGTGTGGACTGGATCCTCCTGACTAAGAATAGAGCCTGATGGCTAACATTTCCATCAGAGCATGAAATCCTATAGTACAAGCTGCTGACTGTGTTGTTAAACAAACCACAAATAAATTAACAAACCTTCATCATGTTTTCTGTGTGACTGATACAAAAACCTAACAAAGAATTTTTTAGAAATTTCATTGTAGTATAAAGTCAGCTCTGAGTTTTATGGCTTTGTGATATGACAGTGTGACACAGTGTAAGTTGAATTCTATATAAGCCATAACACACTGACAATAAAGATTAATCATTTAAATCAACAGTAGCAGAAGCTACCTTAGAAATAAGTTTTTGTATATCAACTACTGTGATGTACTGAACATCCCCTTGTTAATCAATGAAAAAAAGACTCAAGCAGTGTCAACAGAAATAATTTAATTAATAAAGGGAATGAATAAAATAATGTCATAGGTAACAAGTGAACTAATAAGATTAATTAATTAAACAGTGTCAATGGACATGTCAATGAAATTAATGAGTCAGCTGTTAGAAAAAAAATAATTAATTAGTGAATGAATCAGAGTAAAGGCAACAAGTAAATTAATGAACAGGGCATCAAAAGTTTCAAAAACAACGATCAAACAGAAGATTTACCTCGCTGTTCAAGCATGATTCTCTTGGCAAGTCTAAACCCTGCTGAGAGATGTCTGCGCCTCTCCCACGCTTCATTTTGCCTTGCATCATCCAATAATCGCTGTACTTGCATAACTTCACGATGCTCTGCCTGCAACTGTGCTTCAAGTTCCTCCTAAAGCAGGAGAGAATAAATATTTTATTCACATGTGGGAACTGCTTAAACTAAATGCTAAGTTATGTGGTGTTCATCATTCCATCACTGCAGATGTACTTGAATTGGAAGGTTCCCAGTTTGAAGCCCATTTGAGCCATGAGTTTCAGGGCCATCATATTAGCCTACTGTTTTATGATTTATGAAAAGTGAATTGAGATTTGAGGTTCTCATGATAAAGCTGTCTATTGTGGTCTTCTAGGTTATGACACCGTGTGGTGTTGCAGATGGTTACCAGTATTTTAAATTAAATGCATTGCCTCCATCTTTTTGATGAAGATGGAGGTGAAATGTTGCTCTGGAACATTCAAGACCAACTACTTGGCCCATATCAACATGAAAAATTATGTGAATAAAATTGCATACTTTTGTAGCTCTTATTAGCAAAATAATTTCAGAATTCTACATGAAGTGGCAGTATTGTTACATCCACTTCACAAGACTGATAGCAGAAAATAAAAAGTACAAAGGTACGGTGACCTATGGTGGCATAACATCCATAAACCAAGAGGTGGAGTCTAATTTATAAAACATGAAGAAGATACGCCATTGTAAATCCCCACTGATTATATTATCCCCACTTAATGGTACCTGCACCTTGTCGTGGTGGTGGGGCTTGAGTACCTCAGTGACCCCAAGAGCTACTGGTAGGGCGTCCCTAGCCAGTTTGGTCGAGGGGGAGAGGTCAGACTAAGACAGGTACCCTGGTACTCCAGGTTGGGGGTTGGTCGCAAGGCTAACAACCTTGCGCCGTAAAAAGGAAGATGTTTCGAAATCTCGATCAAAGCCTCGGACAGACGGACCTACCAGAGGACCAAATCGAAGAGGGGAATTGAGGAGGCCATGGACCGAATACGGACCGGAGAGCCATAGAAGAAGAAGATTATATTATACTAAACATACATTTACATACTGAATAGTTCTGACAACTGCAAGTCATCTACCACTTCTTCTTTGCAACTACTAACACTTTATTACAAAATGATTTCCATAGCACCTTTGATATAGTTCTGTTAAAGTGCGCAGTTAATGTGACTAGAGGTTACCTTAGCTCTGAGCAAACGTTCATTTTCCTCCTTGATACACATTTCTTTAGATCTGAGCACGTGAACTCTTTCTGTCAGTCCCTGTTGTCTGTTCAGCACATCCTGCAGCTGTTGTTCCTTCTCAGCTAAGTCCTGTTCAAGAGCGCTCCATCTTAATTGCAACTTCTGCTCTACCTGGAAAAAAGGAGAGAACATTTTCAAAATACAGAAGCCAAAATTGTATCAGACTGAAAGAATTACGTAGCTGATTTTTTTCTTAAGTCATGCAAAGTTATTCTTTCAACAGCCCAACTTATGTAGTATTTAATGAGGCACAAGATGATCGTAAATGGAAAAGAGATAAGGATATGAAAGGAGGCAGTCACTGCCTACATCAGAGCACTGTACCAGCAGTTTGCATGGATGGAGTCTCAGAGAGACCACAAAAAGTCTCTTGTCAGGATGTCTGGCAACCAAGAAGATGTTGAAATCATGGCCTTTGAAATATTGAAAAATGATCAATTAATTCATGAGAACAGGAGAATGTTTGGATCTAAGAGGGACTGAGTGACAGGAGAAAACTGCAAAATAAGCAGCTCAATATTTTGTACAGTTCACCAGATATTATTATGATCAAATCATGGAGAGATGAGAAAAGTGTAAAATATTTTGGCTGAAATTCCTGAAGGGAAGGGACTAGTCGGAAGACCTAGAAGACGTGTAAACAAAAAAATAATATTAAAATAGATCTTAGGGAAATTGTGTTTGAGTGTGTGGATTGGATTAATCTGACTAAGGATAGGGACTGGTGGTGGGCTCTTGTGAGCATGGCAATGAACCTTCAGACTGCGTAAGAGGCAAGGAATTTCTTGACTGACTGTTACTACTATTAAATTCTTAAGAAGGAATCTGTTCCATGAAGTTAGTTGGTATCTTTGCCTGAGCATTTGGCAATATCAAGAAATATTATAATGAGCAACAAATACTTGTAACGTTGTACAGTATTTGTTGATAAGTTACACAAAGACAGAAATATTCAATTATTCTATTTTCTCTGTTAATGAATTCCCGGATGAGGATTATAAAGCCAGATTAAACCTGATATTATTCAATGAAGCTAATGTAGTTCAACTGAGGATAGTTAAAGGCTTGTTGCATGATAACCTCAAACATGAAGATACATCAATACTGGATTGATAATGAAACTGTAGTCTTACGTGCCGTGCTTGATTCTTCTTTTCCTCATGAAGCTGAGTTTCCATTTCTTCAAATAATCTGCGAACCTAGAACAAAATGAAAATTACCACTGCTGGTGCACATTACAACATTTCTTATTTTTGATCTTCAGTATTTTCAGAATATTTAAATATCAAATTACTAAACGGTTATAATTTTTAATTCATATTTGAATTACAACAAACATGTTTATGAAAAAATGAAAGAAGTTGTCAGTGTGTAAGTGGATGAAAAAGACCTGTAATGTGACGAATACATACAAGAAGGAAAAGGGAAAAGACAAAATTGAAAATTTAAGCGGAGAAAAAGAACAAGAAGAAACATTTAAAAAAAAAATTCTCTATAATCTGTAAATATATATATTTAAATTCCTGACACATGTTGGTATGACATATGTAATTCAGATCAAGTGCAGTTTTAACTCTGCATCCAAAATGCAATTCTCACAAGTTACTCAGTGTCTTTCTGGATCTGTCAATATTGAGTTACCGTTTGCGAGCAGTCGGAAATTGCTTTTTCTTGAATACATGGAAATCATAGCTTTAATACACTAGTGACAAAACTCAGAGGTTCAATATTACTAAATTCCAAAACCAAAGCTTGCACATGCTTTCAAAAATTAAAGAATAAATCTATCAAGAGTAACAGAACTGTAATTTTATGTAAAAGACTTAAAAATTGCTATTACTACTTCGAGTCCATCCAGTTAGCCCCCTGAATTTAAAGAGACTTTGTTCTTTATTGCTGATTAGTGAAAGGCTATGAATACACCATGACACATTGATCATATATTGTACAATAGCTTTACCACGTGGAAAGAAATGGTGAAGGTAATTTGTTAACCTGTGCATCATGTTCATCATCCTTTAATTTCAAAGCCTCTTCCAAGTTTCTCTGTTCTTTTTGGCACCTTCTTAGGTCCGTCACCAGTTGCTGAAGGAAGGTCTCCAAATTGTTGCGGATAAGTGGACTTTCTTCCTGTTCCACATGATGGCATAGCTGTCTCAGCACCTCCAGACTACAAACAAACCACGAAATAAAAATTTCTGTCTTCCGGGTTGTTGCGCTGTGTAGTCTGGTCGATGTTAACCAACGTCTCAGAGGTCATACTGCCTCCATCATCAGGGCGATGAGTATGAAGATTTCTGTCTTCTGGGTTGTTGCGCTGTGTAGTCTGGTCGATGTTAACCAACGTCTCAGAGGTCATACTGCCTCCATCATCAGGGCAACAACCCAGAAGACAGAAATCTTCGTACTCGCCGCTGTGAAAACCTCAAATCTTACAAACCACAAAATATATTTTCACATCGCTGTTACAACAGTAGCGCGCCTGAGGGGACGAGACCGCTGGGGAGACCTAGAAGTAGATGGGAGGATAATGTCAGGTGGGATCTATGGGAGATAGGAGTTGAAGGAGACTGGATTTTGTTGGCCCAGGACAGGGCCCGGTGGAGGGCTTTGGTTAATTCGGTGATGAACCTTTGGGTTCGGTAAGCCATCTGGTTGGTTGGGTCCACTATTTGGGAAGCCTGAGGGGAAGAGACCTCTGGGGAGACCTAGACGTAGATGGGAGGATAATCTCAGGCGGGATCTATGGGAGATAGGAGTTGAAGGAGACTGGATTTTGTTGGCCCAGGACAGGGTCCGGTGGAGGGCTTTGGTTAATTGGGTGATGAACCGTCGGGTTCGTAAGCCATCTAGTTAGTTAGTTAGTTACAACAGCACATGCACTGTCACGGACATTTCAGTCACTATTTTCTTCAATGAAGTTTAATAAATGTTGTATCTTGGAATAGAGAAGAAAACTCATGTGATAATTTCTGGTAAGTCTGTGGACAGTTCAGAGTAAAATGATAATGCCAACAAGTAACAAGAATTATACAACTAAATTATTAGGTTGTTTTTTGGATGTAATTTAGGAGACCGGGATAAAATACAAGCACCACATACTGATTAATATCCTATTATGTTAATCTGATAGAACATCTGAAAAAAAAGGAAAAGGAGTGTATGTGATATGTACCAGAAGGCCATTTGACCACTGATATTTTGTGTTATGGAATTTTCTTTCAAGTGCAAAACTGAATATCCCAATATACTGTCTGCGTGTTACATCGATAAGATTAATCTGTTCTTGTCCCGCCCGCCAAACGGAAACAAAACTTAAACTTCAGCGATTAAGAATAGGAGACAGCACGTCAGAATGTAATTATCTTCAAATCTGACTACAATGCGGAAACTCACCAAGATCCACGACGGGAGTTACAAATCCCAGTTAACCAGCTTACAGCGAGTCATTAAACTGTCCATGCATTTAAATGATTACATATGATAATAATAATTTTTTTTATATTCCTTAGAAATTGCAAAAACTACTTCTATGTTCATACGTAGTTACAAGAAAACTTCATCCTACTTGTGCAATACGTTGATGGACTCCAGTTCCCTCAGAAGGTACTGAACAGGCCCATCTGAATCTTGAACTTCCTTCTGAGATGATTCCATGACACTGTCTTCCTCCCATGAATTTCTAGAATGTGAAGCTACAAACTCACCTGTAATGAAAATTATTTTAATTTAATCACAGGAGAATGTTCATTGTAGTCACATTTTAGTTACATACCCAGTAACTTAACTACTGAACTATCTCCGCGGTGAAGTTTCCTTCAGAAATTCTCATGGCGGTGAGGGCCCAGAAACTGGAGGTGATATGTTTCTCTCAAAAGTTGGCGTCTATCTGTGAGTCTACATGGAGTCATAACCCAGCAGAACAACAACATCAATAATGAGCCTATCTCCGAAACTAAGAAATTGTCCTCCTCTTGTGAATTCCACTTTCATACTCACCAAAACCGGAGAGGAACTGTTCGATGGTGAGGTAACCATTGTTATTCACGTCCAAAGAGTCGAACACAGCCTCAAGCTGCTCTGGTGTCAGAGGAATCTCGCTCCGCATTCTCTGTCGACATAGAAACATGCAGGTTACGAGAACCATAAGATGTTGACTAACAGAGTCGGCCAAAATAAGCTGTAGCCAACACAAAACGTGAAAATGTGTCATATTATTTAAACTAACAGAGTCGGTCAAAATAAGCTGTAGCCAACATAAAACGTGAAAATGTGTCATATTATTTAACACAGGAGAAAAATGTCAGATGCTTCCCTCAAAAATAACGCGAAAACGATTATTAATACAGAATGTTTTATTATATTATATCGTGTATTCATTTTCGAGCATGACTTTACGTCGAAATCGTCTCCTACTCTTCGTAAATCCTGAGAAGGAAGTACCGAAGTGCCTCACAAGAATTCCACATTTTCATTGGTTTGTCGTTCTGACTGATGGAGTTCGTGTGTAGTAGTTAGGGAGGCATTTTAATGGAATTCCATGTATTATATGTACAAGCAGTATTAAGTAAAATTTGCATGTTATTTGAAAGACGTTCTTACAATTAATGTAGGAAAATCGTGGCTGTCTGTTCGTTCCGGTGTACTAGGAGTCTACAGTGAGAGATTTCTGGTAAAAAACACATTTGAACTCAGCAGTTTCGTCGGCTCCAATTAATATTCTGTCGGCCCTTCAGACAAATTTTTCTTACTGTGATATAAGAGAGAAGATAACCTACAGACTTAATACACAGTACCAACAAGGTTTGGTTATAAATAGGCCTGAGAGATAAATGTTTGCAATGTTTCTTTGCAGCATGGTGCGAGACGATTACCTGAACTAAGGCTTTGTTTGGAAGAGAGCTTGCAGTGTAATTACCAGAGTAAACAGAACTGTGTGCGGAATGGCCTCGTAGCTACTACACACACAATTCTGTAAACATCAAATTTCGCTTTCGTAAGAGAGTCGCTATCAAAGGCCAAGCTCGTTGCCAGAACAATACATCTGTGTGCGTATTAAAATTGTGGGGGGAAAAAAGCTCTAAAACTCACACAATTCTGCTTTGAATTTCTTTTATTCCTTTGGACAAAGAATAATATATATATTACTATCCCAGTATTTGCCTGGAGGGACGAATAACTTCTATTCTGTCATCTCACTGGCCACTGCTACTCATTCTAAGTTAAAATATTGCTCCTTTAACATTAACATTTTTCTCGGCAAGCAAACATTCGCACATTTTATTGATTACGAACTTTAGAGTTTACTTGTTCATTATTTTACCCACCTATATGACTGCCCGCTAATCTATCTATATATCGATCTATTTACCTATATATCGACAATTTATCGTTCTGTGTAGGTATCGATCTATCCTCTTCTTATCCACTCACCTATCGACATACCTATCGGTCTGTCTACATATCGATTCTCTACTTATCAATCTATCTACAGATACTTTACCTACCTATCGATCTATCTTCTATCTATCGATCTGTCTGTCTATAGGATAACCCAAAAAGATGTATACGTATTATAATACGGAATATTAACCTAGTGTGTATACGTCTATTTGGGAGAGCTGCATATACCTAAATAGCTGTCTGACGATTATCTATTTACCCACCTACCAATTCATAAGCACCAGTTCTGATAGTTAGTTGTTCCACATAAATATTATCAAGTTTTTTCAAATTAAATAAAAGTTAATCAAAGTTCGTAACCAAGTGAGCGATATATGCACATATGCGTAGCGGGAATATATGAACACATAAAATGCGCTAAAATATTTTCTTACGAGTGCATGAAACTCATGATTTCCCAGGTGCATGAATGCCTTGACATTATTACCAGGGACAGATAGCACAAAACAGTGTAACACAACAAGGCCGGCAGAGGTAGTTATCTACTTAGGAGTGAGTTGTAATGGCACAAATTATAGGGTCGAATAGTATCTGGCAAAAGTTCGTGGGTTATCCGACACACTGACTGAAATGTTCATAAGAAAAGTGCCTCAAACTTACAGGAATGTCTGTACAGGTATACTGCCAGAACCGGGCTAACTCGGTCATATTACGACTGACTACACGCTGAACCACTGGCCTTCGATTTCCGCAAAGATAGGGATTTACCACACATTCCAACACGTCCTATATTCACTAATAAGATGGCCAGAGAGTAAAGACAGCAGTCTGTATAGTGGAGTAGTCTAGA